GAATGTCGTTGTCAGTCACCAAGATCTCTGAAACCCCAAAACAGGCAAACAACCCAGAGAATCTTCAAACTGTACTCTCTGATGTCGTTTTCAGCGTGTCATATACTTCTGACCATTTTGTGAAAGCATTGACAACAACCAAGTAATTTCTGCCTTGTATTGGTCCGGCGAAATCAGTGTGTATTGTTTGCCAAGGCCCGTCCGGTTTCGGCCACTCGTGGACTGTCCTCACAGCCTGTTTATTTACTCTGAAGAAGTGGCTTACACTAAGTCACGAAACATTAGAAATACAATTTTTATGCTCATTGGGATATAACAAAAATACATTTATTATTAACTCTACGCAATGCTCAATTTATTTGAAACTATCAAGTTCAACCGTGGTATTGATGCCGATAAGCTCCAACATGTACTTTAGAGTGTAGTGGGAAAGATGTACAAGGAAGGTTAACCATGAGGATGGAATACTTAATAAGAGGTGAGGGATTCGAGATGATCTCGGGCGCTGATAGAGGTATGAGGGCGGTTGCTACTTCCCGGCTGCCCACACCGTGTAAGGATATTTCTTCTTAAGGGACCTGAACAAAAGCTGAATTAATGGTGGTCTGAGCTACCTGAGAGCGTGATTGTAGAGCTCAAGGGACAACTGCTTAAAGCCGGTCCCGACCGTTGTTGCTACCTTGACGTGGTGGTCGGGCTTGCCTATCGTGATGAAGCAACCGAGCTATACTGGCTGGAACAACCGTTCCTCAAGGTCCTACCATGTCAGACAGGTCGGTTGAAGAGCGGTAAGACTAAAAGCAACAAACCCAAGGTCCGAAGGCGAAGTCGTACTGCTGACTGTACAGAGGTGTGACAGCAGTAAGGTGTTTCCTTCAGACAACCAGCATGACAGCGATGCTGCCTTCCCACAAGGAGGGGTGGGGTTAGAAAAGGTCGACCCTAAAAATGCACACCTCGCCTTATCCCACGGATATCCGTCTCCGGCGGTAAGGTCTCAATAAGTACGGAGCTAACACAAAAATTACCCATAACAAGGTCGTGTGTGACCGACCTCAAGCAGTTGTCCCTTGGGCACTGCGGTCACGCTCTCAGGTCACTAAGACCACCTCTAATCCAATTTCCTTTTCAGGTACCTCCAGAACAACCCTTCCACGGTGTGGGCAACCGGGAAGTGATAACCGCCCTCATACTTCTAACAGCACTCAAGACCACTGTATTCATAATCAACCTCCTCTTCAATTCCTATTATTCCTCCTACATCGACTTTCAACTCTATATTTCCTCTCTCGGCTTCCACCTCAAGTGTCACCGTAGCCAACGATTCTAGTGCGCAAAACACTGTCCCAGGTCTACTGAAACCTCGCTCCAAACTACACATTGGAGCCTTCAACGTACGCACCCTATGTCAAATCGGTCAGCAGGCTTCCTTGGCTAAAACCCTAGAGTCTCTTTCCATTGATGTATGCTGTGTCTCCGAAACACGCATACAGGATTCCAGTGTGGTCATTCACTTGACCTCACCTCGGCAAGACGGAGAGCCAACGAGATACACCCTTCGTGTGTCTGGTGACCCGATGGCAAGTTCTCGTGGACTGGCAGGTGTAGGCATAGCACTAAGCATGAGGGCCGAACAAGCACTGCTAGAGTGGATCCCCGTCAACAGTCGTCTATGTGCTGTTCGGCTGAACGGCTACGTAAGAACTCGGAAGGATAGGGACACACGTCGTTGCCTTTTTGTCGTTTCTGCCTACGCTCCCACTGACTGCAGCTCAGATGAAGTGAAAGATGAATTTTACAGAAAGCTGTCCGAACTTCTTCAGAAAGCTAAACGCTCAGACATAGTACTCGTAGCAGGTGATTTTAATGCTCAGATAGGCAGTTTAAACCAAACAGAAAGGCATTTAGGTGGATATTTTAGTATTCCGACACAGCGAACAGATAATGGTGATCGTCTGCTGCAGCTATGCTCAGACAATCGTTTATTTTTAGCAAACACAAATTTTAAGCATAAGGAGAGACATCGTCTAACATGGCGACCCCCTACACCAAACCAACGATGGACTCAAATAGACCATATTGCCATCAGTCATCGTTGGAGAGGGTCGGTAGAAGATTGTCGCTCATTCTGGAGTACCTGCTTGGACTCCGACCATGCCCTAATACGGGCACGCATCTGCTTGCGCCTCACTGGACGCAAAAAAGCCACATTAAAAAGACCCATTAGAACTGAGTTGAGTAACGAGAAAACCAAAAGTAGGTTCCAGGAACAACTGAGGTCACACTTAGGTAGTTGTGAAGACGAGGCTGACCCAGATGTTGCTTGGAAGGGCATACAAGCAGCTGTGGAAACAGCAGTGACATCTATTAGTGACTTAAACCACAGAGTTACAAGGAACCAGTGGATTTCTTCAAGGTCTGTCACACTGATGGATTCTCGCAAACTCGTCCCATCAGGTTCTGAACATGATGAAGAGCGTAAACAAATCAGATCTAGGTTAAGAAAAAGTCTAAGGAACGACCGTGAGCAGTGGTGGGTAACGAAAGCAAAAGAGATGGAAAAGGCGGCGACTATAGGGAACACAAGACAGCTTTACAGACTAATAAAAGAAACTGGAATTAATAAGTCAAGTGTAAGTGAGATTATTTCGGAAAAAGATGATACTCTCATCTGCTCCCAGTCCAGACGTTTAGAACGATGGGCGGAACATTTTAGAGAACAGTTCAGCTGGCCTTCAGCTACTCTACAACTACCCTCCATTCCCAGACAGAGTGAATGGAACATTGAAGTAGGTCCCCCAACTCTTGCTGAAGTTGAGAAGGCTATAGTTAATCTGAAACGAGGAAGGGCAGCTGGTCCAGATGGATTGGCTCCAGAGGTCTTTAAGGATGGTGGTCCAATTTTAGCGATTAGGTTGACTAATATTTTAGCTAAGATCTGGGAATTAGACGTTATCCCATCTGACTGGTCGCAATCACTTATCGTCCCAATATATAAGAAAGGGTCAAAATCATCCTGTGACAACCACAGAGGGATTAGTTTAACAAACATAGTATCTAAAATACTGGCCTCGATAATTATCAAACGCCTAACTAAGACTCGTGAACTACAAACACGAGAGAACCAAGCTGGCTTTAGACCTGGTCGTGGCTGCATCGACCACATATTCACCATTCGTCAGGTTCTAGAACACAGGCATACCTATCGGCGTCCGACGATGGTGGTCTTTCTTGACTTAAAAGCAGCATTTGACTCTGTAGACCGCGAGACTCTGTGGCAGTGTCTGTCATTGAAAGGCGTACCTCAGAAGTACATAAACCTTGTGAAGGCTCTTTACTCGAACACTACTAGTCGAGTCAGGGCTTATGGCGAACTGTCATCTACTTTTGCAACCTCAAGTGGTGTCCGTCAAGGCTGCCCACTTTCTCCATTTTTGTTTAACTTCATCATAGACCTATTGATGGAAATAACACTCTCGTCGACTGAATTCTCGGGTATTGATCTCCTTCCAGGAGGTCCACTTATCGACTTAGAATATGCAGATGACATAGTCCTGTTTGGTGAAGACGCTGACAAAATGCAGAGTCTTCTGGTAGCACTAAGCAACAATGCCAGAATGTTTGGGATGCGCTTCTCTCCCTCTAAATGCAAGTTGTTGCTTCAGGACTGGTCTGCGTCAACACCTGAACTAAGGATAGGGAGTGAAGTAGTCGAACGAGTTGACAACTTCACTTATCTTGGAAGTCTGATCAGCCCTAATGGGTTGGTGTCTGACGAAATCTCAGCACGGATTCGTAAAGCTCGTTTGGCTTTTGCCAACTTACGTCACCTTTGGCGGAGGCGAGATATCCGTCTATCAATAAAAGGACGAGTATACTGCGCGGCAGTCCGTTCTGTTTTAATTTACGGCAGCGAAACATGGCCCTTAAGAGTAGAAGACACCCGTAAGCTACTAGTATTTGACCACAGATGCCTTAGAAATATTGCTGGCATCTGCTGGGATCACCGGGTAAGTAATAGTGAGGTTAGACGCAGGGTATTAGGGAATGATGGTAAATCAGTTGATGAGGTTATGAATCTTCATCGACTGAGATGGTTGGGCCACGTATTACGTATGCCTGAACACCGATTACCACGACGTGCAATGCTAACCGGTGTAGGGGATGGTTGGAAGAAAGTTAGGGGCGGCCAAACCAAAACGTGGCATCAGTGCCTGAAGTCACTAACTTCTAGTCTGAGCCATGTTGGTAGATGCAGACTACTTGGTTGGGGTCCGCGTGACTTTCGTAACCAATGGTTGGAGACCCTTGGTGACATGGCTCAGAATCGATCACAATGGCGTCGGTGTATACACTCTCTGTCTTCTCTTAAACTAAGAGATTAAGATCACTTCACATCTTTCTTTCTACGAACTAATTCTTTCTTCCTATACTATATCCTTATTGCAATCTTTCTCCTATATATTACCACCTTTGACCTAACCACTCCTATGAATCCGGTGTTCATCTTGCTGTGCTAATGAGGTATGGCAACCTGGGCCGATGCATACATGTGCCTGGTCCTACGTTGTAGCTGACTGACTGACTGACTGGTCACACACGGCCTCTTTGTGTGAGGGTTTTGATGAGTTAGCTCTGAACTTACCGCCAAGGACGGAAATCCGTGGTGTAAGGTGAGGTGTGACATTTTTAGGGTCAACCTTTTCTGATCTCTTCCTTCCGTTGTGAGAGGGCAGCATCGCTGCAGATGCCGAGAAACACCTTACGGATGTCGCACCTCTCCACAGTTGACAGTACGACTTTGCCCTCGGACCTTAAGTTGCTGTCTTAACGTTCTTCAAGCTGACATGGTAGGGCCTAAAGGAACATTTGTTCCAGCCGAGGTAGCTCGGTTGAGTCATCACGATAGGCGATCCCAACCACCACGTCAAGGTAGCAGCTACGGTCGGAATTTTTTAGTTCAAAAAGGGATATATTTAAACACTTACTAAGGTTCCAGACAAGGAATATCGTACAATAATTTGTACCAACCTTCTCAGCGAAGAATGAAAAAATGAAGGTATACAACTATTAGTTAGAAAATTAATTGACGAAAACAATTTCAAACAATACTTCTGGTACTGGTTGATGAAAGCCAATGACTAATAGCATACAATGTCCCCAGTGTTACAGGACTAGGTCCATTACCAACTTCAGATTCGGGTCTGGTATTGTGTGAAACAGTTGGATTGCGACTTGATGTTAGTCCACAGATAAGTTGATTTACGGGTACCGATTGCCAATCAAGAGAGTTTACACCCCAATACCTAAAAATGTAGAAAATCCAGAAAACTTTTTATTCAAAAATGGACGTTTAATTGCCTTGATAAAATATTTCACAATTTATGTGAAAGAAAAAGAGAGCAGTGGTAAAAGACAGTTGCTTACCAGCAGTGATCAATTTCCAATTACTGTGACAATACACCTGTTGTTTGATGACTGAAACCCATGGTCATCGTTATCGGAGTACACTCTTTAAGCTCATACAAATGTGAAACAGAAAATTATAAAGTATGGTATAATGTTTGAGTTCGGTTAACTTCTTAATCAAGAAGAATGAAAAAACTTCAGCAGTTTTTAGCAAGGTTCGTTTCTGAGAGATGAGGATGCTAAATCCATCCAAAACCCCGCTCCTTTATCCGGGACTGAGACCGGCAGTAACCCTAGAATGGCACCAAGAGGGTGGCATTTCTATAATTAAAGAACATCTGGAACTTAAAACAACAGTCAGCCAACACAAAAATCAGAACCTTCAATACGAACGTCAAGACAGTTCTATTGTACAGAGTTGAAACGTGGAGAACTACAATCATCATCAGAAAGGTACAGGTGTTTATAAACAGCCGTCTACGAAAGATACTCCATATCCGTTAGTCAGATACCATCAGCAACAACATAATATGGCAAAAAACAAATTCCAGCTAAAGAGGAAATAGGATACACATTGAGCAAATCATCAAACTGCGTCACAAAGCCTGCTCTAACTTGGAATCCTCAAGGCAAAAGGAAACGCGGAAGACCAAAGAACACATTGTGTCGAAAGTCGAAGACAGACACTAAAAGAACGAACATCACTTGGGAACAACTAAGAGAGCCCAGGGCGGAACAGGTTGGAGACATCTGGTCGGGGGCCTATATTCCACAAGGGGTAACAAGCGTAAGTAAATAGTGATAAAAACTATACTAAAGCGTTCAGCGATTTTCCCCTAAATGATGAAAGACAATTTTTCAGAAAATACTTTTATACAATCAACAAAAACGTCTTAATGAAACCAAATAAAAATCATTCAATTTACCAAACTTCTGTTTGATCATTATCAATCTGGAAAGTGGATGGCATCGTTGATAACTCGGGATAAAGATATTCCGAATTACTGATTGTGGACTGATTTTGAAAATGTTTTTCAAATGCCTTCCAATCATCACTTAATTTATTGAGAACAGGTCTCGGGAGCCAAACGGCTGCACATACTTCATTTACTTCAAGGTTAAATTGTGGTAAGTATGAGTGAATATCATCTGAATCTAAAACAGATCTATAAAAAATCAAAAGACAGTATTTAGAAAAAGAATGGAGTTTATGACTACTTAATATGCTTAATACCAAACTGAATATAAGGCCAAGGTATTATGGAGTAAATAAACTGAAAATCTTAAGGAGTGAAATTTTACTCGTCATTTTTGACCTAGAAGGACTACAGTACGAAACTATTGAGCGAAATCTGTACTTTCTCCAGTTCCCGGAGAAACTACCTTAGGAAAGAATCATAAGTGAAAAGAAATGACTACGACTGAAGTTTATGTTAATTTTCCCGACCGTAGCTGCCACCTTGACGCGGTGTTCGCGCTTGCCTATCGTAATGACCCAACAGAGCTATATTGGCTGGAATATATGTTCCTGTAGGTTCTACCATGTCAGGCAGGTCGATTGGAGAACGGTAAGACTAAAAGCAGCAACTCAAGGTCTGAGGGCGAAGTCGTACTGCTGACTGTAGAGGGGTGTGACAGCAGTAAGGTGTTCCCCTCGGACAACCAACATCTGCAGCGATGCTGCCCTCTCACAAGGAAGGAAGGGGTTAGAAAAGGTCGACCCTAAAAATGTCACACCTCACCTTGCCCCACGGATTTCCGTCTCCGGCGGTAAGGGCCTTTGAAGAACGGAGCTAACACATTAAAAACCTTCCACGAAAGGGCCGTGCGCGACCGGCCTCAAGCAGTTGTCCCTTGGGCTCTGCGGTCACGCTCCCAGGTCGTTAAGACCAACAATAATCCGACTTCTTTTTCAGGTTCCTCAAGAAATACCCTTCCACGGTGTGGGCAGCCGGGAAGTGATATCAGCCCTCATACCCGTAACAGCGCACGAGACCAAGTTGGTCCTACACCTAATACCACTCTTATCTCCCCGACTAACCCTTCTCACGTCTCTTTATCACCTCGCACCGCTAGGGCAAACGATTCGAGTACGCGGGACGTTATTTCACACTCTAAACTTCATGTTGGAGCTTATAACGTCCGAACACTGTGCCAAATAGGACAACAAGCTTCCTTAGCTAAGAATTTAGAACCTCGCACCATCAATGTGTGCTGCGTCTCCGAAACGCGCACACAGGATCCGAGTAGCGTCATTCATTTGACATCACCATGTCAAAACAAAGAACCAACTCGATTCACACTTCGTGTATCTGGAAGCCCAGATGCTGCTTTTCGTGGACTCGCTGGCGTAGGTATAGCATTGAGTCTTAGGGCAGAACTAGCTCTCTTAGACTGGATCCCAGTAGACAGTTGTTTGTGTGCTGTCCGACTAAACGGAACAGTAAGGACTCGGAAAGATAGGGACACTCGTCGTCTCTGCCTATTCTCCCACTGACTGCAGCGCAGATGATGTAAAAGATGAGTTTTACAGAAAACTCTCCGACCTCCTCCTAAAAGCTAGGCGCTCTGATGTAGTAATAGTGGCTGGTGACTTTAATGCTCAAGTGGTTAAACTAAGCGAAAGGGAAAGACACCTGGGTGGATCTTATAGCGTCGTGGCTCAAAGAACAGATAATGCCGACCGTCTGTTGCAGCTATGCTCAGATAACTGCCTGTTTCTTGCAAATACTAACTTTAAGCATAAGCAAAAACATCTTTTAACATGGCGACCCCCTAATTCGTCCCAACGTTGGACCCAAATAGATCACATCGCTATCAGCCACCGATGGAGGGGCTCGATAGAAGACTGTCGCTCATATATATCCTGTGACCATCGAGTAAGTAATGCAGTTGTTAGGAAACGGGTACTAGGTAAGGATGGCAAATCCATTGATGACGTAGTGAAACTTCATCAGTTGAGATGGCTGGGACACGTGTTACGTATGTCCAACGACCGACTGACCCGACGTGCGATGTCTTCTGGTGCAGGAATAGGTTGGAAGAAAGCAAGGGGCGCCCAGACCAAAACATGGCACAAGTCCATGAAGTCACTGACAAGTGGTCTGAGCCATGTCGGTAGGTGTAGACTACCTGGTTTGGGACCGCGAGTTGATAGCAACCGATGGTTAGAGACCCTGAATGACATAGCTCAAAATCGTTTGCAATGGCGCAGGTGCATACACTCTTTGTGTTTTCCCAAATTTTGATCTCCTTATTCCTCCTTGTCTTCTTCTTTCTCTTCCCAAATTTATTTCACTGTATTATACTCTTTAAGTAACATCTCCAAACACTAATCTTCCCGATTACTGCTTATACTCTTATTACCTCTACCACTACGGGATTTGAATCGACAACTGCATCTCTGTGCTAATGTGGTGTGGCAACTCGAACTGATGTACGTACGTACGAAGTTGTACGTTGTTACTGACGGACTGACTTATGTTAATTTTACATTGATCGTGGCTTTTAGTAAAAAATAATCAAGAATACTCTTAATATAATTGTTCAATAACTTACTAGATAAAAAAACTAGCAAAACAGGCCCGGCAATAATTAAAATTAACGTTAAACATTGAGAATAGGAAACCATGAAATTTTAGGTCCTATAGGATAACAAATTGACTAACTACCTAAATTGTTGTTGATAAGCGATAAAAAAATTCTAAAATTCGATTATCTTCAGTCAACAAAATTTGTTTGGTCTTAAAATGAATCCGCAACTAAAATATCAATAAATCAACATTCAAGGATAACAAGAAATATCAAGGCAAATTATTTGGGTGAGGGTGCTGCGCGTCCCAAGCATATTGATTGCCATGGATGACAGGTGTTTACTTATAAAACGTCAAGTCCCCCAATTTACACGATTTACCACATTGGATAAATATTTCAATCATCTTAGGTTTGCAAGCAGCAGTTGTTCATCTGATTGTCAACAATTATATGGAGTGAAACGTCAAATTAAAAGATCTTCACAGAACTCCATCATAATGATCAACACTGTATGTAGTCTACTACTCGCACATTTGATTTATAACACCTTTGTGACCAATAACAAAAATGATCCCTTAGATCATTAATACGAGTTATTTTTCGAAGGTTAGTGCTCAAAATTTGGAATTTCGACTAGTATATATCAGAAATTTGACGTCATTTGTTGCTGACAGAAATCGAAAATCTCTAGACCTATGTCAATTATCCAGAATTTGCATGGTATTCCAAAACTGTGTAAAAAGGGAAGTATGCACTTTAAAGTTACCTAAATTTAAAATCACGGCAGGAAAAAACATACGCACGTATCTGAATAGTAAACAAAAAAGCTGAAAATTATAATTCTTACGTTGAAGAACGAAACCAATTAACAGAGTAATATATAACCATATGATGAGATTTAGGAAAGATAGTAGACTTTCCGATTCCTGTATCTAAACGAGAAGGATAGGAAGCTTCCCATGCACAAAGTGGTTTAATAGTACATTCATTTATTACATTTTCTTTCCCATACGAATGTAATCCTAACTCTTCTGTGAGTTCACGAAATGCGGTGTCCTGTGATTGGTAACACAAATAAAGGATTACGCCATAATTATATCACTATACAATCATCAGCAGCACAGATAACTGGTATTTTTATTCTATCTAAAAATATTTCAGAATACTGTAGATGAATGATCATTTATACCGACAGGTTATTCGTGGGAATGTTATGTCGTAAAATAGTTCATATTATTTCTTACATTACTCTACTTTCCATAGGTCAACACCAATAAACTCTAGGAAACTAAATATTTGATCAATGAAAGAACTGTATCATCTATTCTGAAGTCACGTATCTATTTTAACATTTTTCACTTAAGTGTTTGCACATTTGGTACAAACCAAATGTTAGATAGTCTTGAACAGAGCACTGAAAAGCCTCGTTATTGAAGAATATTTGAGGATCTACTAAATAAACTCCCAGTATTGATTAGAAATATTTCACATATGCCCATTCAGAAATCCTGTATAATCAGTGTACACACGTTTTGGGATAAAGTGGAAGTTCAAATATTCTGACATAATTTTTGACATACTTTGATAAGTTTTTAAGGTGAGAAATTCGGTTGAAGTGAGAGGTAACCGCTAAGATGAACTGTAATTTTTTTATATCTGCCCAAGTTACCACAGACTGCAGTGGGGACGCGAACGAATGAGTAGGTTCCTTCGATAGATATTATAACGCTACTTAGGAATCTAAATATGTAGGTCAGATATGTAGATACAGAAAACAACTAAATAGACATTCGCAAGTTCAAAAGTGGATGCTTCTAAAAGCAGGGTTGAAGTAAATTATAAATTATTTTCTAATAGCAATAACACTCCACACAGAGGATGAGAAACAGATAACCAAGAATTCTTCGGGTTACTGAATCTAAATAAAGAATGATGTAATCTCCCGTACGATGTGGACGTACAAAGATGTCCGTACAAATAATATTGGATACAGTCGTGCAGATCCCAACCTCTAATTGGATACTTTTTCCATAATAAACTACTTTTTGTGACTAGTAGAATAAATTGTGAGATATCTGGGAACCTTGTTTTTTTAAGTATTGCATTGAAACATTACTACACAGAATTTTATTGAGGCAAAAATATGGTCGTTTCCTAATAAGAACAAAAATCGATTAGAGAAACACACCTGAATAGGTTCTTTATCTTCACATTGACCTCCAGGTGGAACCCAGACACCTGGATAAGATCGCATATGCCACGGTCTGCGAGTGAGAAACAGACCATCTAGTCCAGACAAATGCAGAAGGCAGCAGCACGCCACAGGAATCCATTTGGGACAAGATTTCCCATATGAGTCTAGGAAGCGTCGGTTAGACATAGCAAAAGGACAAACACGTGGACGCTACAAAAAAATAAAACTCTCTAATCCCATAAAAGGATGTAATTCCCAGAGGATGTAACTTAAATAAATTTGTGATGTTTTGTACACAGATAAAAACTCGATTAATAAATGAACAAAGATATTATGTACTTAGTACAAAATTATACGATTCGCTCACAGAACTATTTTGACATAAATCTCGCGGTTTTGTAAGGAAGTTTTTAATGGATTTTATTCAGTATGAATATTTTAGACGTGTGAATACTCAAAATTCGTAGCTAACGAAACTCTCAGATCAACATAATATTTGCAAAAGCTGACAAAGAAGCCATGTAATGCTTGAGACATTCAAAACATAAAATCCCGATAACCATTTCAGCACCATAAAGTGACTGATAACTTCAGTAATAAACTATAATCTACACAAAATTTAGCTACTACATGGCTTTTCGTGTGCATAAAACAGTTTATATGTTGGAGACATCTGAACGTCTTGATCCATCCTTTTCGTTGTGACCAGTCGTGACTGCAACTATTCATCATGATAGCTTCTGGATATTTGTGCTACTGCACATATGTTTACAAAATCCAGCTAAAGATTGTTATCAGCACACTTGCTTAAACTTATTTCTGGGAAGCGATGCAGGAATAAATCTGAGCGGTTTGAAAAAAATATCTTCTTGATAATAAATCTCATATACCATATTAAAAGAAAACGTCAATAACGTAAAGTAAACTAACACACAAAGGTATGTCTATCCATTCGAATCCCAAACAATCAGTACCAACAACTAGATTGCACGAGTCCTGTCTAATTTTTATGGGTGTTTCATCTTCAAAACCAAGGGCATCCACCACCGACTAGGAATATTAAGGAAACCGATATGTTTTAAATACCTCTTGAAATTCTAACCGTCTTTGTAGCTTTGAGGAATAAACGTAAACCATACTACTAAGTTGTCTTTCTTGTGCTGAGACGATTTGGATAAAAAGGATCGTCAAAATACCTCGTTTAATTAAATTCGTAAGTGCTTCGTGAGTAAACACGTATGTTTCTACACATATCAAGACAGTTCGAGATATGGTGAAAAAAAGCAGCACAACGCAAAAACTAGAAGTAAAATCATATAAAACATTATAACTTACTAAGACAAATTAGAGGACTGTCAAGTCCTTGGAATCCGCGTCCTGGTAGCACGAGACCGCTTCTAGTTACGTAAAGACACCTCTGTTATGTCCCTTTTGAAAACAAATGCCAGAAGCAAATAAGTCAATAAGTAGTCAATGAGTAACAACTGGAGTAATCCTCCTTAATACATAGGTACTAAAGCAAACGTCTCTCAATGAAGGACTCAGTAGAAGGTACTATTACCATTACCTTTAGGAGTTCTACAACTTACCAATCCTGACCACGAAGTGTGAATGGATTTTGTGCGAACTAACTCACGTTATCCTGAGTGAATGTTCTTTAAAATGTAATCTAATAACTTTGAGATGGTGGAGAAGATTTGTAGCTCAGGTGGATGATTTTGATGGACAAACAAAACTCCATCAAAATCTAATAACTATTACCTATTGAAATGAAAATTATGAACAATATGATGCACAAAGATAATGTCTCCATGAATTCTCCTACGCAACACATGTCACAAAAGCTTCCAGGTAAGTTGGGTTCGAGTTATTTTCTAGTTCAGGTACCCCTCCATTACTCTTATTTGAAAACCTTCCAGGAAAGCGACATCTTCAAGGTAGGCGGGACATGACGCAGAAGTACGTTCATGTGAAGTTAAGTCACCACCGAAAACTATAATAATCAAGGAGTCAAGCCGCCTAATATCCTGGAAAAAAACCCGATTGAGTATGCCTTATTGGTTGGAGAATGCTAATGGGAATGGACCTTAGAGCTGAAAATAACTCTACATGATGATCTACTTCAGGTAGTACAGTGTGATACTGGATGTATCAACAGCCTTCACCACTAGTACTCTGCATTTATTGGTACTAACGTCTTTGTTGGTCCAGTCGAATGGCCTATAAATTCAAGATGTCAGAAGGTCCTGGAATCTCTCCTCGAATCATTTGTTAACAGCCGAGTTTGAGTCTAGTGCCTACCCTTGACATTCAAATTTAAAACCTGATCCTAATTCTTCACACCAATCTATAATTCTCCTTTAACTCTAGTAAGCAGGTGAACATCCTTAGGGTCGCTAAATTTGGCGACGCTCAAAGGTCGCTCATAAATTTAACTTACTATAGTCTCAATTGGCAACACCAATGATCTGACATATAGGAAAACGGTAGAACCCTGAATTATTAGGAGTTTTGACACAAGTAATGAATTTGTTAGGGCTAAATATTTATAGTTTAGGCTGGGAATCATAATACGTATTATGATTATGGTTTGGAGTACTTCAAACCAGAAAGCACCGACACAGGCCTAAATCGCTTAAAACCTAACGACAAAATTCTAAAACTCGGGCTCTTAACTTTTAAACTACCGACAATAACAGTCTATCCCACAACCATACCATCCAATTATTCCAAACTGGCAACGCTCCTAGGGTATCGTCCACTGATGGGGGTTGCGAGCACTTGAAGGTCAAACTGTCGCAAAATGATTGGTGCGTCACATCGACAATTCGTGAAAATTTTCAGAAGCGGTCAAATCAAGACATTTTTAGATTTGAGTTGAGTTCAGCCACACTATGTCTGATAACGTTCATTCTTCAAGTAACGAAGACGATTCCATCGTGATGATGCATGATATAGGACGAATCTTCAATGATATTATGTTATCTCGAAGATTTACAAGTTGGGACAATTTTGAGACCTGTTTGAAAGAAGTACATAAGGTAATATGACCTCTGTGGTTAATAATTATTTTCTTAGTATACGCATACTAAGTACGTTATGTCAGTATGCAAAAAGAACAGTGATGATCCAACTCTAAAGTACTTTTTCGTGCGATATGTCTGTACATATGGACGTAAACGCAGTTCGTCAGAGTCAGATGCTTGCGTTCAGGATGTAGATGATGATAGTAATAATCATTCTTCTGAAGAGCATACAACTTCTAACTCGCCAACACAACCTAGGCAAAGGAGACGACGTCGGTCATCTACGTATGCCTTACTTCAAATGAATTTATCCTTCAGGTCGAAATATTGCCACTGTAAATCAGGATTTTGGGTCCGGGCACTGAATGGTGAGTTGAAACTCACCTCTATTAAAACCGTGCACAACCATCCTTGCACAGAAGGATATATTTCTGTCGATCCATCGAAACGACAGTTGACCTCAAGTGAACGCTTGTATTTAAGAACGTTTCTACTGAGTAATACACCAACTCGTAGCTTACGGTATCTGGTTTCTTTGAAGTTCAATAAACAACTTACCAAGGACGATATCGCCAGAATGCGTTCACAGTTGTACCCAGGTTGTTGAACTCACATTGTAATTAATTGAGTTTAGACACTAAAAATATCAATAACATTTTACAGCGCATTCAAGGTAATACTGAAGTTAAAGTATTCTATGAAAATGGGAACATGTCTATGATTTGCTTCAGCCGCAGAGAGCAAATAGCTGTTTACCACGCGTTCCCGGAAGTAATATGTATTGATTCGACTTATCAGACCAATAAAGTCGGGTAAGTGACGATTAGTAATAAATTTATCTGAAAGCTTTCCACTGTTCCAGCTAGTGGTCACTGATAGTCTTGGGCAAGGGCACACTGTTATGTATGCTCTTTGCAGTCAAGAACGACGCGAAGATATAGAAAAACTATTGGAATGTTTTAAAGAGATAATGTGCGGTACTTATGCTACACGCACGTTCATTATGGATTCGGCAGCGACCGAAATTTCGGCTGTGCAGTCTACGCACAGTCATTCTAACATAATACTTTGTTCATTCCATGTCCTAAGAGCGTTTTTCAGGAAGGTATGTGTTAGCTGTACAAATTATTTTCTGTAGTTCCGAAATCCTGATGTGCGCAAATGCTTGGAACAGCTTGTGAAGACTAGACGGTCTGATATGTGAGCTTCGCTTTTCATAGCGCATTATATTCAGATTTACTCGAAAGTACGAACATCTAAGAACGCATTTTCCACGGGCGTATGATTACATAAAAGATTACTGGATTGCTAGGAAGTCAATGTGGGCTCGCTGTTACCGGCGACATGTATTAAGCCTGGGCAACCACACAAACAACCGTGTTGAAAGTGCTCATAAACACCTAAAAGAATGTCTCAGAAGAGGTGATTCCCTATTATTGACGTTCTGGAAAATTTGGAGTAAAACAGACATTGATGTACGTTTGCGTCCTTATGACGCTGTGAAGGATCTTCAACGTTTTCCTATTCTTCAGGTAAGAAATATAGTTAAATGTATCATTAATTCCAGGTTCCAATGTCATTTCGAACTCTTCTAAATGAGTTCACATCTTTTGCAGCTAAAATTGTAGCTGTAAATTATAAACGTGTTCGGACAATGAGACACGAATTTATAGAAGGAGAATACATCCGGTGCTACGACAAGGGTATGATGTATGTTGTTGATACTTCACGTGCACGATGTGCTTGTGAGCGTTTCAATGACTACATGCTGCCCTGTGGTCATATTTTGTATGCACATTCTAAAGATCTGATTCGCGGAGGTATGTGTGTTCCTTTATCTCTATAAGTTTTGTAGACTTATTTCGACATAGCAACCGGTGGACAAGAAAATACATAATGGACCTGGTTCTTCGTGCGCTGGACAACATCTCAATCTCTACAGGGAGTGATGATCTGCTAGAGAAGTTCACTAGCAACTACCACTCAATCCATGCTCTTAGTGAACCTATGGCAAGTAAACTCATCCGTTCATGCCTCGAAGCATCGGAAGACATATGTGCACAGTTGATGAGTTCAGTCGGTGCTAATGATGAAGCTACAACGTCAGAATCCATTGTTAATGCAGACCATAGCTATGCTTCTTGCTAACAAGAAGTTCTAATATTGTAATCTTTTTAGTTTTACATAAATTCATTTATATGGCGATTGACTTATTCTTATAGCGTAACGGCAGGGAGTGTACTGTGCAGTCTTATGTGGCTGTGAGACAGGGATGTTGTTTCGCGTTCTTGTGTAATAATTACCTGGTCACCTTAGATCAAGATATCTTGACTATCGGATCGTACTTTTCAGTGCTTTCTCGTAACAGCTTTATATCAGTACTTATTTCTGATATTAGGTATTTTTGCAATAATACCGGCAGCCAAAACATTGTAGCTCCCCAGACAACCCAAAAAGGGAAAATAAAGGGGTAAATGCTTTGGTAGCGAAAGGGGAAAACACATCAGAATGTCGCATTTTTCGCCTGTCCAGAGGAAATAATGTGGATTTCCCCCTTTTTCGCCGTTTTGTCGATAAATTACTCACTTTTCGCCTAAATATCCCCCAAATTACCGAATTTTCGCCTAACTGTCCGCAGAATTGTTTACTTTTCGCCTAAATACACACAGAACTCCCTATTTTCCATCCATTGACATAACCCCAAAGGTCTACTATGTTCACCTTTATTTTCAACAACAGACCAAAATAAATCTGCAATACAGTGAAAGACCGGCATGTTTTTGAAAAATTTTATTTAAAAGGTGAAGCGTATTATTGTACAACACTAGAGCAGAAGCTTAAGCATCGATTGTTTTGCATATCCAATGCAATTGCTAATTCATTGTTATTTGAAATTATCTGCAAAAGAAGAAACACGTGATGTATTATTTATAAGGAATGTGCATTTATTCAAAAGTTCACTGACACTCAAACACACATTCTCAACACTTCTACAGTTTCCCATGTAAGTAAAAAAGTAAGCTGTTTGAAAAATATTTATTGAAATGTAGGTACAACATCAAAACAATTGCACGGCTATTGAGAATTGAGGTAGTCGTCCCGTGAATTCAGAATTTAAAAAAAGAAAAAA